CCATACTTCCTATTTTCAGGTCAAAATGAAGCTCTCAGCTCAAATCTATTCAATCTTGCTGAAAAAAACAAACTTCGCCCTCAGACATGACACACAAGCCCTTCTTTTGGTAATCAGGTATCATTTTACAGCTCAATGTCTATTACAGTATACAACATACTTAGAGAAGATACATGTTACAGTAAATATAGCAGATACAGTGAAATTCAACAATAAGCTTTACAGTAAGAAAATATTATTTTCATTACACTGCAGATCTTACAGTACAGTAGATGAAAAGCACTAGAAAGGAAAAGGTCAAATACCAAAGAATTGCACATGGTTAAACCTGTGCAAAATTATGCCGTTCTTGTGTAGAGTTTAGCTAAAAAACACTGAGAAAATTGGAGCGTGTGTGAAAACAGGTGAAATGTGTTAAAAGTTTTGAGAAACGTGTCTTTGTTTCAGGAACTGTATGAATGGTTTGGAAAATTGTGCCAAACGAATCAGTTATAGTGTGTTAGCAATTGAGAAAAACTGTAAGAGGGTTCAACAGTTAGGGCATTGACTAGAGCTGGTAAGGCTGAAAGACCATCTGTAGTAAATCTCTCAAACCTCCTATACTAATTCCATTTTTTTTTCTCCATCCACAGCACATGCAGAAGAAGTACATTTTCAAACACATCAAGATCTCATCTCAAACCAGAAGAACTGTTCATATGATATGTAGACTCAATAGATGATCTCCATGGTAGACAAGACTGGATGAGCCACAAGGATTTGCAAATTACCTCCAAAACAAACAATCACCCTGGTCTGAGACCAGCAACATTAAAGACTGGACACTAAACGCTTTAACAATCCCCTGTGACTCTTATAGATGCCATAATTGAGACAAGGACAAAAGTATGACAGAGAGCAGTTATAGAACGTAGTGTCAGGGTCATCTTTTATTGAGTTTCCTGCTTTGCCAGGAGACTCATTTCATGTGTGGCGAAGGTTTCTATAGACTCCTGTAATGGTCTTTTGTGAAGGTAACCATGGACATGAGCACCTGAACTGCATCTATTTATAGCAGTCCTCCAATCTGAGGCTTTGTGTTCTTTACGATTTTTTGGTGACCCACACATTTCTCAGAAGACCCTCTGTTTTCTCGCTGGTTTTAATTAGCTGTAAGATAAAAGGAGCTTAGATGAAGAATGGACATCACCAGGAGCATTCCAACTGCCATTATAAATATATATAGTTTTTTGGATTCTTGCCTGCATGTTTTGCTGAACCTAGATTCTTTTTGTCAAAATGTTGCTGCATACCTATTCATTATGTTAATACTATAGCTCTAGTGTTCATCTGCTGCATGTGCTAATAGATTATGTGCTGACGGTCTTTAAACATGTCCTGCTGTCAGTGTTGCCAGACTGGACGGACGATTTCTAGCCCAAAAGCTCACAAAAAACCGCCCACTCCAACAACAACAACAAAAAAAAACTTTAACTGTCAAAATAATGTGATAGAATATGTCAATCAAGGTTGATAAGAGCCATTTTTAACTCCTTAAAACAAAAGAATTAAGATAAAATAATAAATATGTTAGATAAATTCCCATGGATCAAATCGGGGAAAATACATTAAAGAGAATTACCAAATATGATTAAAATATGCAAGCAGATACTGTCAAAACGGCAATCAAGAAATTAACTGATACCCTCGAAAAAACACATGCATAATTTTCAATGTCAATGTCAATGTCAGAATTTAAATGCAAAAAAGTGCCCAATATAAGTGATCGGAATAAGCAACGTAATTAGGTATTTCACACTCGTTTATGCACACACCATGACAGTCAAAACTGTGTCATTCATTGATGCAAATCCAACAACAAAAAACAAACAAACAAAAAACAATTAAGTGAAAGTGACGTGACATGACATGACATGTGGCCAAGCATGGTAGGGCTGTGCGATTAATCGAAATCAAATCGAAATCGCGATTTGAGACGTTGCGATTTAGGCTATGCGCTTACCGTCGTGTCGCTCTATAATTTCACACAGAACAGAGGATAGAGCAAGTCAATAGAGGAAGTCTTTCGTGAAGTTCATATTGTAGAACATAATACAGAACTTTGCACAATCAAAATTAACAAGTCCAGCAGCTTTCAAGGATATACCAATCTGGACCGTTTAAAAGATAAAAGACAGGATTGTATAGATATAAATAGATTTTGATTAAATAATTTAACTGTGCTCTGATTTCGGAGTTGCAGTGATAGAACCTTCGTGTCATCTCTCCCTCAAAAGGTGTAATTCACATTTTGAAACGTAAAACCTCCCATTCTTTACCATGTAACTTATATTTAGGCATTATGATCACTTATACAGTTATACATTCAAAATCAGAACCGTTATCGCGCTAAAAACCCGTCACTTATGAATCATCATGTCTGTCTGCTGATCCCTAGTGATTGGCTAAAAGTCGTCTTTGCAGTGTGCGTGTGTGTTGGTAACGTCGTGATGACTGATTGGATGCATATATGTACACTTGGGCTTGTTTGTTAACCAATTAGTCTATACAATTTAAATGTTTGAAAACCGCCCAAATTTTGTCCACCCAAGCCAATTTCTACCCGCACAATCAAATTCAAAACCACCCAATTGGGCGGGAAACCGCAATCTGGCAACACTGCCTGCTGTGGTTTGACATCTGTGGCATTTTCAGAGAGAATCTGTTCTGAATATGACTGTATTGCACAAAAACTGTATATAAATGTATACGTTTTTCTTAGTGATATTAGATGTTATAAAACTATACTTATCTGTTGAAATATGTTATTTCAGAGCATAAAGCATTTATTTCACTCTTTTAAAGAACAAAAATTCCCAACAAGGAGTACACAAGTTCAGAATCAATTATTTATTCATAAAACAGACTTGAAAATATTAAAGGTTTTAATATATATATATAGTATAATAGCTTAAGGCTTTTATAGTCCCCGGAGGGGAGGGGGGGTGGGGGGTTACCTTCAGTATTTTGTCTTGTTTTCTAGTACAAATGTGACCCTGGACTACAACACCAGTCATAAGGGTCAATTTTTTTGAATTTACATTTATTTACCATCTGAAAGCTGAATAAATAAGATTTCCATTGATGTGGTTTGTTAGGATAGGACAATATTAAGCCAAGATACAACTATTTGAAATTCTGGAATCTGAGGTGGCAAAAAAAATCTAAATATTGAGGAAAATTGCCTTTAAAGTTGCAAAAATTCAATTCAAAATTTGTTTTTATTTATTTAAGGTAGGACATGTACAAAATATCTTAATGGAACATGATCTTTTCTTAATATCCTATTGATTTTTGGCATAAAAGAAAAATTGATAATTTTGACCCATACAATTTTGGCTATTGCTACAAATATACCCGTGATACTTATGACTGGTTTTGTGGTCACAAATGTCTAAAGATTCTTTACTTGAGATATATATTTACTTGAATTTACAAAAATAACATAAGTCTTGTTTTATGACAAACTGATCAAAATGAAGTTTGAATAAAACAAGAAAAATATGCTAATAATCTTAAATAATTTAATTAAAATGAAAAACAAGTTTTCAGCATTTGTTCTTGTTTTAAGCATAAAATCACTTAATTTTGTTAAAACAAGACAATGTATTTGTTTTGCATCTCAAGTAAAGGTATCTTGATTTAAGGATTTAATGCCATGAAAAACAAAAAGCTTTCTGTTGGTCAACATGTTGAATCTGCATGACCAACTGAAGCCTATATGTAAACCTGATCCCCTTGATTCCTATTAAAATAACTAGATTTTGTCCAATAAAAATTTGCTGTACAATGATTAATATGGCTGCACCTTAACATTGACGTTTTCACTTTCATCAATTAGTTTCACTTTCACTAATTGATTGAGCCTATGTAAACTATTATATGCAACCATAGAACGAGTGTTTCATTCTAGAAGGCAGCCTGAACTTCCCTTCAACACAGTAAGATGGCAAAACCTATTAAAACATTTTTGATAAAATTGTTGAATGAGCTGAAATCTTGCATATGGTTTTACAGCTGCTCCCTCTGGAGTTTCAAACATTTACCATCCTTAAAAAAAATGATGGGTCATTGCCGAGGCAAGCACATTGTATCACTGTTATTTTATTGCATTTTAGAGTCAAAAAAAAAAAAAAAAGCATGAGGAGCTATGGAAAAAACAAAAATCACTCAAATACTTAAAATATTATGGTGAAAAGTAATGAATCATTTAAATGTATGAAATATTCAACAGTTTTTATTTAGTATAAAAAACAAACAATTCTGCTGTTTTTGTCCTATTATAAACAGATCACATGCATAATGCAAAGCAATACATGTAAACATCATTTCAACTTTGAAACAAACTCAAATGCATGTAATAGTTTTGTAGACAATTTATCTCATTTGAATTCTCTTATTCTCCTTTGGTAATGTATATGGATCATATTATAAGTACAATCGATGATTATAGCGTCTTAATATTTGCTTGGTGAATTTGTGAAACTATGGCATACTTCGCATTTTATTCTCCTTTTACACCAGTGTTTCTCAACCCTGGTCCTGGGCGTCCCCCAACACTGCACATTTTGTATGTCTCCCTTATCTGACACACCCATTTCAGGTCCTGAGTTGAATCAGGCGTGTTTGATTAGGGAGACACACAAAATGTGCAGTGCTGGGGGGCGCCCAGGACCAGGATTGAGAAACACTGCTTTACGGAGTTTACTGTAAAACGTTAGTATTTGTGTAAAGTACCAAAGTAGTAAAATACTGTTAATAAACTTCCACTAAATAGGTTCGACAGTTAGCAAACATAATAACATTAGTAACATCTCCCACAGTCAGAATCTATGCCAGTTTAGTGTTGGATGGATATTCTTTTACCCAAAAAAATAAAATAAAATACACAAAATACATCCAAAAAAACCTGAATATTGTTTGTCTTTTTTTTGATGAATAACGTTGAGCTTTTTTTTTCCTTCTAATTCCTTGACCTCTCCACACATGTATTTCAAATATGCTTACATTTGGTATTCACATCTTTTGGTGTTTTTTCACAGCAGAATTGCTAAATGCTTCATTACGTCAAGCATACTGAGCCAGGAATGTGCATTAACTAAAATCATGCTCTATGATGTTCCCAAATAGTGATACAGTATATTCAGCTGCCCTTTACTTTAAACACTTAGAAGATACAGACAGATAAGAAAACGGTCCATTCAAAATACTGGACAAGGCCTCTTCTGGCATATACTGAGAAACGCAAGACGACATACATGTTTAGTAGCATAATGAAAACAGGTGCCTCTTTTAAGAGGTTTTGCGGATGTTTGACATGGCCACATCAGTCCAGCTGCTGACGGTCTGCTGGATGCGCTGGGTCCGTTTTCGGATGGAAGCCCTGTTCAGTCCTCTGGAAATGTTGCTCTTGGTGGAGCTATAGCCCATGTTCATGACCGCTTTGTAGTGCTCCAAGGCCTGGACCCTGCAGTCACATCATCAATGGTTATTTATAGAGTAAAGTACAAGATGAAGTAAGGTGTGTTTGTATATCCTATTCCCAAGTGTACTCCAGCTATTTGGTGCCTAATTAGAAAATATAAACAAACAAATGCTTATAAAATTATAAAAATAGATAAATGTGTATTTTAAATATTACACATTAACATAACCAAAAATAAAGATGGTCAAATTAAACAAATCCTTGTCTTTATGCTAACAGCTTTTAAATGGATAGTTCACCCAAAATACTCGCATGAATAGCGGAAGATGGTGACACGGAGGAGAAGAATTGTTAAATAAAGTACATTCGTAGCTTCGTAAAATTAAGGTTGAACCACTGATGTCACATGGACTATTTTAATGATGTCCTTACTATCTTTCTGCGCCTGGGAACGTTTCAGGTACAGTACATAGCTATCTATGACAAAAAACAGCGTGTTTCTGCTTCCACTCAAAATAGGCATTTTCAAAATGATATAATAAATTATCTGTGGAGTATTTTGAGCGGAAACTTCACAGACACATTCTGGGGACACCAGAGACTCATTACATATTGTAAAAAGGGGCATAATATATCTCCTTTAAGTAAAGATCATGTTCCATGAAGATATTTAGTAAATTTCCTACTGTAAATATATTAATTTTTGATTAGTAATATGCATTGCTAAGAACTTCATTTGGACAACTTTAAAAGGAGATTTTCTCAGTATTTAGATTTTTTTGCACCCTCAGATTCCAGATTTTCAAATAGTTGCATCTCGGCCAAATATTGTCCTATCCTAACAAACCATACATCAATGGAACGCTTATTTATTCAGCTTTCAGATGGTAAATAAAAACTGACTCTTATGACTGGTTTTGTCGTCCAGGGTCCCATATGCTGCAAACGCTCATAACACAAAAAGAAACGCCCAAGTAGCACAGACCACATAAAACCACAGTTGTACAAATACCATGGTTAAACGATGGTTAGTGTAGTAAATCCATGGTTAATTTGTGCATGGTTACCATCATTTAATTGTGACATGGTCACAAAAAGACGCGTTTTATACCGCTCAATATATTTGAAGATGGTTTTATATCTATACATTTGAGTTGTAATGGTTTTACATGTTGTCTTAGCCATTTTAATCCTCTTATTCATTTTAATGTGTGGATGTCTTTAAATGTTCATGGGTCTGCCTGTCATGTGAATCAGGAAGTAGACCAGTATAAAGCAAACCGCATGACAAGCAAACAGGGTCATTGACCAAACACTGAACATGCTGGATTGTGGAGTTGTTTTATGGATTTACCATTCCCGTATCTCACACATCTTGGATAATCACTTTCTTTGGACTGTATATACACCAGTGGACACTTTTACCTTGGAACTTCAACCCACTAGGATTCTTAAGGACTGTTTTAGGGTATGATCCAAATGGACAATCTGCTTTTAACAGCCCAAGTTATTCTAGTTTTATGGTGTTGTTTTAAGTTCCTTGTGCATTGTGTAAATACACTATTTATGCAGTCTACTTTTGTCGTTTGTCTCATCTTTTTAAAAACACTTATTTTACCTCACAGTATAATCTGACCCCTTTTAATTATTGTAACATCTTCAGATAAGGCCGATTGTTACACTATAACCATTTTTTAAAATATAATATTAATTTTAATAGTAAAACCATAGGCTGGTTATTTTTTGTAAGGAAAGTTGTATAAAGTGAGCCAGCTTTCACAACCTTTCACAGTTACAATATTTCGTCAGCTTATTTAGGCTAATTATATATATATATATATACAGTATATAAATAAAAAGCTAAGAAATATGATCAGGATGTTAATATAAACAAAAATCACACCTTTCAGAGCAAACATTGATAAATATGTACCAACCATGTTTGTCACTTTGGGGTTCCCTTAAACATTTCCAAAGTAGTCTGCACCCATTTGCGCCGCGTTTCTGTTGTGTTGTATTTGCAGCGCGTTTCTATTTTTGCAGTGCGTGTATTTGTGTTGTGAGCATTTGCAGCTTGTGTTGTCAGAATGATGAATGTTGTTAATTTGCAGGTTTTTTTTCATTTGCAGCTAGTTGAGCTCTCTCGGCCACGTAATAGAGAATATATAACCAGCAGTGAAATGTAAATCAGGTCCGCTCCATAGACTGCAATTATTTATAAGGTGTATAGAACCCAAAAAAAAAAAAAAAAAAAAAAAAAATTGGAAAGCCTGAAAGTACAGGACAGTATTAACAGACTTAAACAATAAATATTCAGATGAACAGGTACAAGAAGAATGTGCAAAGGCAAGTACAACAATACAGGTTGTTCGCAGAAGTGATGTGTGCAGTGACAATGTAAAGTAAAGGGATAGTTCAGACAAAAAAAGAATTGTCATTTGGGCCCAATCCAATTCTATTGTATACCCCTTCACCTACCCCTTCCCCTTGAAACAGAGCGTCAAGGGGTAGGGGTGAAAATATTCCCCTAAAAATGGGACGCTATTACTGTATCGTTACACCATTCTATATTAATAGACCCTTACCATTCTATATTAATGCGCTGCTTACACACACACACGAGATCGTGCAGCTCACACACATGAGATTGTGCAGCTCACACATCCAGGAGCAAAGAAACTTGCTCGGGCAGCCATGTTGCCACTGTAGCCGGTTTATGCGGAGATAACTCTCATACCCCTTCGTTTGAAGTTTGGTCCCGAAAAATCTTTGTTTGAAGGGCTATCTGGTCTTTACCCCTAGCCCTACCCTTCGAACCAAAAGAGAATGGAGACACCCCTACCCCTTCATGTGAACGCGCAAAACAGAGGGGTAGGGATAAGTGTAGAGGTAAGGGGTAGAAATGGGATTGGGCCTTACTCACCATTAAGTGGTTCCAAGCCTGTATGAGTTTTTTTTCTTTTGTTGATGTTTTTAAAAATGTTGATAACAAATAGTTGTCGGTAGCCATTGACTTCCATAGTATGGGGAGAAAAAAAAAATACTATTAAAAAGTCAACAGCTACTGTCAACTGTTTGGTTACCAACATTAAACGGACAGAATGCAAATTCTGTCATTTCTATAGACAAAACCCCCCCCCAAAAAAACAATTGGGACTCCCTACAGTCTTATGAACTTAACGGACATGCACACGTGGCTGCCATTATAAGATTGCAAGACCACAAGTGCACATGAAGTGAGACATTTGGGACAGGGCCTGTGATACAACGACCTGGGTCAGTGTTCCCACCTTGTGGACAAACTAATTAGTGCAAAACAATTTCAAAATTTAATGTGTACTGGGATGATTATGAAATTTGTCATGCACATTGTATGCATACCCTAGCTTATGCATAAAGTATGCCAAGAAGTATACTTTGAGCTTAAAAAAAAAAAAAAAACACTGTAGTTTGGTGTAATTTTGCAACTTGAGCATACTATTGTGAGTGTAATTCACTCTCATAATTATCACTGTTGTACCGTATTGGCCCGAATATAAGACGACCCTGATTATAAGACGACCCCCCTTTTTCCAGGTGTACCTTTTGGAAAAAGGCTTTTTAAAAACCAAATCTTGTTTTTTCTCAGTAAAACACATTTTGTCTTCAATTATTTTCATATTGCATGACATGTCAAAGTCTAGACCCTGAATATAAGACGACCGCATTTTTTCAGATGTATTTCCAAGGAAAAAAAAAAAAGTCTTATATTCGGGACAATACGGTAATTACAGTGGATAACTGTAAGTGTTAATTTATTGCTGCCTTAAAGCAATCTTTTTTGCAGAATTTCATAACCGCTCATCAAACTCACATACTCCTTCCTTTGGAATTAATAAAGTATCAATCAAAATTAACATCACATATACTATACACATACAGTATAACCTAGCATACGTGTAAAAAAAAAATATATATATTTTGAGCTTTAGCCTATGAGCTTACTGCTAACTGGCTACGAAAAGCTTTTTTCCGATTAGCTGGGACAAGATATCAAGATAACGTTCTGATCAGACATGGAGGAAGGGAAATAGGATCTTATACGACACCATGACTAAAGAAAAAAAAAAACTTATGAACCGTTCTTTACATAAGTGCAAGACAGGTCAGACTTAGTGGTATATATAACAAGCAAAAGTGCTGTGATCAGCATACATTTTATCATTATATGGAAAAGAGCAGCTTTGACATTTGAACAATAATAGCTTGTGTTATACAGGAAAAACCGAACCACAATGTAGAAGTAAAATAATTGTAAAAAGAAAAAAGGGAGGAAATAGACAAACAAGCAGCAGCCATTGTAAATTGAGTTTTAGTTCTTGATATTAGAAAGTAAAGCTCCTTAAATATTTGGTGTAGGTTAATAACTAAAACATGCAATACAAATAAGCTTTAGTGTGGCACTGACTGCATCAGATCCAGTGAGCTACAGTAAATTTGCTAGCTTGGACAAACAGTCACAAAATGGAATAAATATTGCATTATCACACAATTATAAATTCAAGAAAAACACTTCAGAAAGATACTTAAAAACATTTACCTTAGCTTTACTCCATAAGACACTCCCTGAATCTGTCGCTTGCCGAACAGGAGAAAAATTATAAATTGACTTCATTCATAAAGACATCACAAGTCGATATGCCTAAAAGCCTTTTATTTTTTATTGTAGTTGCTGACTGCAACACAATGGATTTCAATTAGAGATGCACCGATCGATCGGCCAGGGATCGGAATCGGCCGATCAGTCTCACTTCTTTCCGATTCCGAGCCGATCCGTTTTGTTACCAGCGGCACAGGCAATAACGTCAGCCGCGCATTCTCGCTCTCTTCTCTCCGACGACCCCTTCTCTCTCACACACACACACGTCTCATTTGCTCTGGTTAAATGCTTGTATTGCGCATTTTAGTCATTCCCGCAGGTTTCACGCTTACACCGAAAGCGCTCGCACCAGAACTGATCAATATTAGTGGAGCGAAAACATGAGTCGCACTCAGTCTCAAACAGCTTGTGAGCCACAAATACCAAAATGAGTGGCTAACTGCGCTAAAACGTTCAAAGGAGCTGAATAGGAGAGTGAGAGTGAGATGCGCAGAGCGTGTGTAGAGCAGGGGAACACGAGGAACAGTATTAAGAACTGCTGCTTTAGAACATTGATTTTGAAACTTGTGAATCCATTAGAATCGTTAGAAGACAGAATCGCGATTCATATATGAACAGATTTTTACGTGCACCTCTAGTTCTCTTCCTCTTCTCTAAAGCAGCGCAGCATGGCCTCGCCCCCTTTGCTGCCTTTTCCCGAGGGCGGGGTTTATCTGGGTTTGTGATGTCACGAACCCGGGAAGTACCTCGTTGTAGTCTCTACCAGCTGTTTTTGTAGGCATTAAACTGCCAGAATTTTAAAAGACGATATCTCCGTTTGCATTGAACTTTCAGCTTCGTAACTTTGCAGATATTGTTTATGCTCCAACAGCAACATTACACACCAACTAACGTTAAAAAAGTGAAATCGCAATCAACCACCCCTTTAAATAGTGGAGAAAGAGAACGCATGTTGTGTAACATGGGCCCGTTTACACCTGGTCACTTCATGCGTTTTTTTCTGATCTGATAGCTATCCATGTAAATGCATCTGGTTGTTGAAACCACAGATGTAAATTTTACTCCTCCCAAAGTGATAAAATAATAAACGTGTGAGAGCGTGTTATAGGCTATATGATATTAGTCAGACTGCGCTAATTCAACACGCTTCGCTGCGGACGAGTAGCTGAGTATCTCTTCAGCGAATGAAACAAAGTAAGACGCAGACGGTCAACGCACAATAATTTTCATTAAAAGTAGTAAGACAAACTTATCTTTCCAGTGCTGATGCCACGCCACGTGCTCTCCTATTGGGGTCTTTGATCTTGAAATGAGCTGATAATTAATAAAATGCAGCGCTTATCTTTAGATTTCGTTGACGTGAACTTAAATATAAAATTTAAATATAGCGTGGGAATTGAAGATCGGATTTATATCGGTTTTGCGACGACACATTTATGTGGCCAAGTGTAAATGGAAACGTTTTAACAAATCAGATAGATATCCGATCAGAGAAAACGCATGAAATGACCAGGTGTAAACAGGCCCTATAT